GGTGGGGTGGGTGAGCAGACTGAGGCTAGTTTAGCAGGTCCACATTTGCCCTAATGGAGTAGCCTCCAGTGATTTGCTCACAGCAAGCACACTGGCTTAGCTTTTAGCTAGAAATATAAATGTTTCTAGTTAGGGAGACCACTGAACCGGCCCCTCCAAGATCTATATTTTTCATTCATGCATTCAGCAACTGTCTGAGGACTTGCCTTTTTAAGGTCACAGCAGTGGGGTACTTCACACATACCCTATAATTTTATTTTAAATGCACACTTCTGCCAGATTTGCATCCTTGGGAGCAATTTAACAAACAAAAGCCACGGCCCATCATTAGAAGGGAAAGCTGTCTTTCCTATATACGGTACTTTCCCATCCCCCAAGAGGGTAGCACACCTGAATCACAGACATAAAATTAGCAAGTGTGCCCTTGGCTCCTGGCTCCACTGATTAATCAGCTTAAAAGCTTTTAGTTGATTAATCTACTCCAGTAACTCCCAAATGGCACAAGTGAGATAAAATGATTCACAGCCACTAAATAATGCACAATTATTCACACTCCCTAAAAGCTTTAAAAGTCAGAGGTTGGGGATCTTTTCCAGACTGGGGGCCACATTTCCTTTTGAGTAGCTTCTGAAGGGCCACATGCTAGTGGTGGGCAGGACCAGAGGCAAAAGAAGGTGGAGGAATGAATGGGAGTTTATTCACCCACCCCTCTCTGTCCTCCATCCAGGCAAGCAAGCAAGGGGCATGATCAGAGCTGAAGGGCACATTCCAGCCAGACCCTCTGGGTCTGAAGCAAGGCCAATGAGAGGTGTGGGATGGGGAGAGGGGTGTGGGCAAAGAGCTAAAAAGGGAGGGGGCATTTGGCCCCTGGGCCTGAGGTCACCCACCCCTGCTTTAAACTGGTCAATCAGTGGTGGCTGCAACTTATGGGCACATTTTTATCATTGTACATGTGTGTCTATTTTTGCTTCTGCATACTACTGTGAGGTCTTTGCGGAGTTTTGGGTTTGGAGGGGGTTTTGGTGGCATGCTAACAAGAGAGCCACTAGTGTGCTGCAGCATCAAATCATTAAACAATTAATGTCTTCTGCAGGTCCAGAGCTCCCAACACTAGAGTGGAGCCACTGCTGGCTGCATCTCTGTGTGATTCACTAATCTGGCCATGTCATTTTGCAGTCAGCTTCTGCTGGCTGCAGGGAAGAGGGGTCAAAATTTCACCATGGTTCCTGTACCACATACAATCAGATCATCCTCGTGCAAATGGCACAGCTGTGAAGGATGCAGATTGATATCCTGTGCTTTCTGGAACGTAATGACGTTCCTGAGGATGCTCGAAAGCATCATTTCTCATGATGGAGAGGCCAGCAAATGCCTCTCCTGGCTCCAGTAAGCAATCCTCATGGATAATTCACTGCCCCCTATTCTCAAAAAATTTTGCTTGCACTTGGGAAGAGGGAGAATTGGCAGGGAAGGCTGCCTAGCAGTAGGGATGGGAATTCCTATTTAGCCTCTCTTGAAATGTGGTGGAGTTTGGGGTAGGGCTGCTGGCGGAGGAAGAGGAGTACGGGGGGGAGCAGTGCGATCATGGTGGGGTGCCATCACGGCTGCCCCCCATGCTGGGTGCCACGCCCCCAGGACGTGCGCCATGCCCCTGCGGGTGGCGCATCATGCCCCTGGGATGTGCACTAGCCCTGCCCCCGCCTGCTCTCCACCCCCCCTCCTGGTGCTGGAGCATGAAGCTCCGCCACTGGGTAGGGCTTCCATTTTGAGACGCCCCTCCCCAAATTCACACTGAAGCATAAACACACCCATGCTTCCTTGCCCCCTTGCTCTCACACACCTTTGTTGTTGTTGTTCTTGTTTAGACGTTTAGTTGTGTCTGACTCTTCGTGACCCCATGGACCAGAGCACGCCAGGCACTCCTGTCTTCCACTGCCTCCTGCAGTTTGGTCAAACTCATGTTGGTAGCTTTGAGAATACTGTCCAATCATCTCATCCTCTGTCGTCCCCTTCTCCTTGTGCCCTCCATCTTTCCCAACATCAGGGTCTTTTCCAGGGAGTCTTCTCTTCTCTCTTTTTTAAAAAATATTTTTATTAATTTTACAATACCAAATTATAGGAACATAACACACATTTTCTCACAAATACATTCTTTTTGGACTTCCCTCAGCTCTTCTGACAATCCACCATTTTGATTCTTTTTTTGCGCATTTCCTAATTTTATATTGCCTTATAATAATAACCTCCCCCCACTCCCTTTTTTACAATATTTCTAATATTAATTCTTCACAGAGCTTCCTGCAAACCAACAAACGTTGTTTGTTCATCACATATACTTTTCAAATAATCTACAAATTTACTCCAGTCCTCGGTGAACTTATGGTCCCACCGGTTTCGGATCTTTCCTGTTAGTTTATCAAGTTCTGCATAGTCCATTAGTTTCATTCTCCATTCTTCCATCGTTGGTAATTCTTCTTGTTTCCATTTTTGGGCCAATAATATCCTTGCAGCTGTTAATAATGTAAAGAAATTGAACACTGTCCAACCATCTCTGTCGTCCCCTTCTCCTTGTGGCCTCCATCTTTCCCAACATCAGGGTCTTTTCCAGGGAGTCTTCTCTTCTCATGAGGTGGCCAAAGTCTTGGAGCCTCAGCTTCACGATCTTTTCCTTCCAGTGAGCACTCAGGGCTGATTTCCTTCAGAATGGAGAGGTTTGATCTTCTTGTAGTCCATGGGACTCTCAAGAGTCTCCTCCAGCACCATAATTCAAAAGCATCAATTCTTTGGCAATCAGCCTTCTTTATGGTCCAGCTCTCACTTCCACACATCACTACTGGGAAAACCATAGTTTTAACTATACGGACCTTTGTTGGCAAGGTGATGTCTCTGCTTTTTAAGATGCTCTCTAGGTTTATCATTGCTTTCCTCCCAAGAAGCAGGCGTCTTTTAATTTCGTGACTGCTGTCACCATCTGCAGTGATCATGGAGCCCAAGAAAGTAAAATCTCTCACTGCCTCACACACCTTTACACACACACAAGCACACGAGTGCAAGGGCACTTATTTTGACTGTTTTTGGATCACTTGGGGTGGGGGGAATAAAAGCCTCAGCTCCCCAGGAAACCTGATGCACTCAGAATGCCATCTCCACACTTAGAAACTGAAGATGATAAGCAGGATAAGCAGCAGAGAAAAGGAGTGGAGATCCCAGGGAAGGATGGAATTTGGCCAAAAGTTGCATGCAACCCATGGGCAAAGGTTATCCATTCTAGGTCTTAGATCTTCTGGAAATCTTTGCCTGGGTGAATTTCCATTAGAGGGGGGACTTTCAGCCCTGTAGATGTTGTTGAACCACAGCTCCCATCAGCTTCAGAAAACAGGACTGATGCTGAAAAATTATGGGAGTTTTAGTCAAATGTCATCTAGAGGACCAGAGCTTCTCCACACCTGCATCAGAGGTTGTTTAGGGCAGCACAACCAGTGCAGTCATATTGGGTGCCGCACTGCAGGGGGTGCCAAAACAATGCTATAGAACGGAGCATGAGAGGTGGCAACAAATTTTAGCATTGCCCAAGGAACCACTGAAATATGAGAGACCAAAGTCTGCCACTACCTGCATTAGAGGACTTCGTGGTTACTGTTCTTTCGACATCGTATACAGTGGTACCTCGGGTTACAGATGCTTCAGGTTACAAACACTTCAGGTTACAGACGCTTCAGGTTACAGACGCCGCTAACCCAGAAATAGTACCTCGGGTTAAGAACTTTGCTTCAGGATGAGAACAGAAATCACGCAGCGGCGGTGTGGCGGCAGCGGGAGACCCCATTAGCTAAAGTAGAATCTCAGTTTCAGGTTAAGAACGGACCTCCAGAACGAATTAAGTTCTTAACTGGAGATACCACTGTAATCTGAGTGGATATGGAAGGGGCTATAGAAGCAAGCTGTCAGTCTAAAAGGAACATCAGCACCTTCAAAGCCAAAACCACCTTGGGGATTCCCATTAACCAACTCAGAACTCTTTTAGGCCAGCCAGATCAGGCTTCTATCCCCTCCTGGGCAGGTGAATGTGAGGTGTAGCAGTTAGTGGTATAGCCATTAACTAGGACCTGAGAGCCCAGGGTTCAAATCCCCACAGCCATGAAACTCAGTGGGTGCCCTTGGCGCAGTCACTCACTCTCAGCCTAACCTACCTCACAGGGTTGTTATGAGGATAAAATGAAGGAGGGAGGGAGGAGAGAGAGAAGAATGTAAGCTGCTTTGAGCTCCCTAGTGGAAGGATGGGATAAAAATAGATAGATGATAGATGATGATAGATGATAGATTATGATAGATAGATAGATAGATAGATAGATAGATAGATAGAGTGGTACCTCAGGTTACATACGCTTCAGGTTATATATGCTTCAGGTTACAGACTCCGCTAACCCAGAAATAGTACCTTGGGTTAAGAACTTTGCTTCAGGATGAGAACAGAAATCGTGCAGCGGCGGTGCGGCAGCAGCGGGAGGCCCCATTAGCTAAAGTGGTGCTTCAGGTTAAGAACAGTTTCAGGTTAAGAACGGAGCTCCAGAACGAATTAAGTACTTAACCCGAGGTATCACTGTAGATAGATAGATGATAGATGATAGATTAGATGATGATGATGATAGATAGATAGATAGATAGATAGATAGATGATAGATAGATGATAGATAGATAGATAGATAGATAGATAGATAGATATAGATATAGATAGATGATAGATAGATAGATAGATGATAGCTAGATAGCTAGATGATAGATAGATAGATAGATGATAGATAGATAGATGATAGATAGATAGATGATAGATAGATGATAGATAGATAGATGATAGATAGATAGATAGATAGATAGATAGATAGATAGATAGATAGATGATAGATAGATAGATAGATGATAGATAGATAGAGATAGATAGAGATAGATAGATGATAGACAGATATAAATAGTTAGATGATAGACAGATATATATATATATAGAGAGAGAGAGAGAGAGAGAGAGAGAGAGAGATGATAGAATTTTCCCTCTGCCAGGAACCACATACAGCAGTTGGGGGGCAAATGGGGAGATGGGCAGGACCTGGAGCAATCTCTCTCTCTCTCTCTCTCTCTCTCTCTCTCTCTCACACACACACACACACACACACACACACTGTTCAGCTGGAGAAATGCAATGTAAAATTAGGAAAAGTACAAATTTAAAAGGATAGTCCATGTTTCCCATTTATGCATTGTTTTGGAAAATGTGAGTTGAGTTGTGTCTCATTCAAATGCTAACAAAATCATGGATTTCTTCACTATCCATATCTGTACTCAGTCACATTTGAGAGCAAAAATAGATTCCTGCCTGAGTGCTGAGAAAGAAACAGAATTAGAATGTCAATCATTTTGGTACTCCCAAAGATATCATAATTCCCCCTTATTTCTCTCCCCTTCTCCCCAAGTTTCTGATTTTGTGATGGAGCCATTCATCCTTTTAGTACACACAGGTGCCTCTGGCACAGAGGCAAAAACCAACACATTTTACATAGATTACACACAATGACGCTTTCTCCATCTATTTTGGAAATGAAACTGACATTCTCTTTGAGTAACCATGGTTTTGGGGACTGCAGGCACATTATTTGGAAGGGCTGAAGCTTCACTTTGTTGCTGTATTTGGCGTCTTACAACCAAGCTAAACATCCAGAATGATCTGTGTGGCACAGGCCCCCAGGGACTGTACCATTTATGAAGATAGGGGCAGGAATCATATGTTGGCATGGTCTTCCATGCAGTGGTTTTTTGTTTTGACTCCTTGCATAAGGAAACCTAGCATATCTGGGAGAGCAGCCTATTCCCCATGAACAGCCAGGTTCCCACAGTCAGGGAGTTTTGAGTGCAGTCCTCCACCTATATTCAGGAGTGATACAATCCCAGGAAGCTGTGGAGTCTGGTTCATCAGTGTGAATGGGGCACTGCTGCACCAACCTATTTATGCCCTCACCAGCCCGCACTGGCCAGCCTTTTTGCTTACAACCAGTCCAAAGGATGGTCCTGGCTATCAGCTTACTCTTCCTTTATCTCAGTGTTGTCCTTTGTAGAATTCAATAGAAAAGATGACAGGGGGAAACTAGAATTTATTGGCTCTGTCGTCTCTGTAGCCATCTGCTGCTGGTCTCCTTGCCTTCGGCCCTACCAGTCCCAATAGACACAAGACACCATTGCCAGGAAGGCTGTAACTATAAACACATTATTCTGAACGTGTAGATGCAGAGGCGTGACTTGTGCCACACATTGGAGGAGCCCGGCATTGCATGTGTGCACGTGATATCATGACATCATGCGCATGCTATGCTGTGCTCTGTACTCAGCCTCCTCATGATGCACGCACGGCACGGCATGGCCCTCCGCTGCCACCCGCTGTCTGCAAACGCAGGCCAGACTGCCACTGCTGCCTGTTGCCCACCACCTTTCCTCTGCTGCCGCAGTGGTGACTGGGGCAAGGCCTCTGCCTCCACATCAAGGCCTCCATTGAGGCTTGCTGCAGCTGCAGATGTACTTCTGGAAGCATGCCCTGGCTTCTGGAAGTACGTCTGTAGCAGCAACGGGCCTCAATGGAGGCTTTGTTGTGCTGGTGTACTTGGCTTAGTCGCAGTGGTAGAGAGCCAGTGGACAGCCAGTAAAGGTAAGACAACAGGAGAGCAGTGGTGGTTCAAGGTGGTTTGGGCCACGTTTGTGGGCAGGAGGGTGGTGGTAGGGCACATCACACGGTGCACCCATCATCAGGAGGCCTCCTCTGAGGCTCAGCCCCCTTCCTGCAAATATTGAGGGGGCCGAGGGGGCCTTGGCCCTATTGAGATTGCGCCTTGGACAGGGAGGGCTTTTAGGCCATCTATGATCCCAGGACCTGAGTGTCTCCACTCTTGCAATAAAGGAATAGAGCAGGGAAATTCCATTTATCCTTTGGCATAAGCAAACACGCAGCATTCTGGTGCTGGGTCCCCACATACTCTGGCAGGAGACCCCACCCTATGTACAGCTGTGTGGTAGAAATCCAACAGGTATAGCTAATGTTAATTGGTAGGATGCCATAATAGGAAAATCTCCACCCTGAAATATCTGTTTCCCACAGAGCTTTTTTAAGGAGCCCTTGCCAGAGTTTTCCTACACTGGGCCGCCACAGCCCATCTTACCCACGTTTGGCTAATCACAACCTGTCACTCTTACATTGGAAGCTCAGCTCTGGAGGCTGATATGCCTGCAGAGAGGTACAATTTCTGGCTTCCAGTTCCACTCTGCCTTAATGGAGGCAGCCCCCACGACAGTGGGGGATCCTAGGCGAAGGAAAAACAAGGATGATCGGGGGTAAATTATCCTTGCAAATTCCCCCCCAGGGACTGGGGGAGTGGGCTTCACTCACAGTTCATCTCGGTACCTGACTCTTGCTGTGGCATGAAATGTGGGGGAGGGGGGCAGGGAAGCGCTGAGTCCAAAAGCACTTCACCTGCCGAAAACCCTCCAATGCCGCCATTAAGAAGCAGAGGTCCCCCTGTTAATTAGAGCTTAATTGGACTAAAGTACAGGCACATGCTAGAAGAGATGAGATCACAAACTGCAGAACAAACCAACTGCAAGGACTTTGAGGTTTGAATTTGAGATAAGACTTCATTTGGTGCAAAAGACGGTGGGGGGAGGGGAGCCTATGGTTTCTTTATTTTAAGTTTTCTTCTCTAAATTTATGATTCAGCAACCCTCCTCTGAATGTTAGTTCAAATTATATTTGTACAAGTAGGATGGAATATAACATCAAATGGAACTTTGTGTGTAAAAACAAACAAACAGAGGACTTCCGGGTTGGCGCCTCTGGCAATGGAATTTCCCTGCTCTATTCCTATTTCCTCCGATCGGGAGGAATCCGCTCCGTGGAACACAGGGTCTGAACCGCCACGGCGAGGCGGAGACCCATCAAAAACCACAGGCGGGAGAAGCCTGTGGACGTGGGATTCGGCTGGCACCTTTGCGCCCCCCCTACTCGCGGGGAAACCCGGTTTCGGGGATCCGGAGCGAGTGGCGCGGTGCTTTGAATCAACTGCTTCTTTCACGGAGTGAAGCCGCATTGCTGTTGCCGGAGAGCGCTGACTTATTCCTGTGGACAATTGGATTTTAAACAACTGCCCGTGAGTAGAATGGAAAATTGGATTAAGAATTTTTTTAATTTGGCACTGAAGTGGGAAGGTCTAAACAGGAAGTCCGCCTTCCGCTTTTGTAGCTAGATTGAAGCAAAGACATGGCAAGCTAGAGTTTAGAAAGTCGTCTGTAAAGGATCAAATTTTCATCAATTAAAATTACTGAACCCCCTTTGGAAGTAGGAGAAGAGGGGGGAACCTTTTTTAGACTGTTTAAACCTGCAGAAGAGAGAGTAAAGAAAGGCAATTTTCCACCGTCTTGAACCTGGGAGTGGGGTGTCAGGACAGACGTTCTGGGGAAGTTCATTGACTATGGACAAACGTTTTTGACAGATAGTTAAAAGAAGAGAAACATATTGATTCCATTGTTCCCCTTCGCATTTAAAAGGAACAAAATATTGACAAAATATCTGAAAAGGAAACTTTGTTCCTAGATCTGCTTTAAAAAAAAAGATGGATACAAATAGAAATTGTTTCCCCTAGAGGGAGCTTGTGAAACTGTTATTAAAACCGAACTGGGGAGCTTTGCAGCTGCAATAGATTAAGATCGTGGGACCAGACTTCGACCTTGAACAAGAATGTACTCGGAGGCTCTGGTGCTTGCCTTTTGCAAGATAAGTGCTTTATTGGAACAGTTACATGAGAAGATGGATTTGATGACTGTTGCGATCGGAAATTTTGGACAGGCAGTGGGTATCTATATAGAACCCACTGAGGAATTAATCCAGGAATGTGCTTTGACAGATCAGATGAGGGAGGAGGTTGTTGCTGGACCTCGGGTGGCAGAGATGGAGGGAGCTGTGGCCCAGCAGGAATATGAGTTGTTGGATTTGACGAACGAACCTGGAAAAAGTCAGATTTGGAGAGATGGAGTCCAGTTTGGCTTGGAGATGGGGGGCTGGATAGACCCCCCTATGCAGGGATGTTTTGACCCTTCAAGTCTGGCTTTGGGCCGGGGGGAGCTCGGAGTTGTGGGGGCCTTTAACTTTGGAGGGACCTTGAAACATGCCTTTAAATACCACATGGATTTCAGTGTTGACTATGGAAAAGGGGCTGACTTGTCGAGAAGGGACAAAAATATTGTCAAGCTGGAGTCTCCCCGAGTGAAAGGAGCAGAAGACAAAGTAAAGTACAGGTATAAATATGAAGAAGACCTGCGGAAGGGACATGGAAGAGACTTAAGAGCCTCGGACATAAGGTCACCAGGTTGATGGACTAGATGGATGGGATAGAAAGGACTGACAAAACCCGAGACTAGGAAGAAGAGACGATGGATGAAGATTGGAAGAAAGTTTTAAAAATTCATTTAGAAAAGTATCGTAAAATTAATGAGTATTAGAAAAATGTTGGAATGAAATTATTTGGCTTTAGCAGAAATGTTAAAAAGAATTATGTAAGAATATGTTATGGTTAAGAGAATTTGGTATAAATAAGATTTAAGTTTTAAGTTTTAGGGTTTTTATGGTAAGATAAGGTTAAAATAGATTAAGGTAATTTAATGACAGAATATTGTGAAAGATGGAAAGGATTTGCTGAGATAATTAACAACTAGAATACAAAAAAGGGAGGTGTGAGGAGGTTGATGAAATAAGGTAATGACAGTTAAGGATCTGGGAATATTGGATCTGTTTTTAAATTTTTTGTTTATTTTTGATTTTTGATTTTGATGTATGGTGTGTTTTGTTTTTTGTTTTTGACTTTGGTTTTCACTGATTTGAATTGTTTAATTGTTACTTTTATCTACTTTTTTCCTTTCTTTTTCTCTTTCTCTTGTTTTTTCCTTCTTTTTTCTTTGTAATCTTAAAATTCTCAATAAATATCATTTAAAAAAATAAAAAAACAAACAGAAAAAGGAAGGGAAGCTCTAATCTGCAAAAAGTTTATGATGGAAACTTAGAGCTGACTCTTCCCCGTCCTTTATTATCTATGAACTGAACTGAACTGAACTAAGAGGACTTGGAATTTAATTTAATTGGAAAGATAATCAGCTGGAAGGAAGGATGAAAGGAGTCTGTGAGCTGCCATGGAACTGATGTGCAGTTCAACAGATTGCTCTTCTTCCCAGGATGAAGGGCGGAAATGGTGACAACTGTTTATTTACTGTGACAGGGTGACTTTTGCAGCTGTTGTTAAAGTTCTTGGTGCAAAACAGTGAAGCACGGGACAAAGCAACAGGGAATTTATGGAACAACAATGGGATATCCGCTCCATCCAAGGCATGACTGATAAAAGCAACATTTGGGGGAAAGAAAGACATAACATCTTACAAGGATAGGAAGAAATGCCACGGACAGAATAATTGCCACACACAGGAAGAACAAGGATATACAGTGGTACCTCGGGTTACAAACACTTCAGGTTACAAACTCCGCTAACCTGGAAGTAGTACCTCGGGTTGCGAACTTTGCTCCAGGATGAGAACAGAAATTGCATGCCAGCAGCACGGCAGCAGCGGGAGGCCCCATTAGCGAAAGTGCGCCTCAAGTTAAGAACAGTTTTGGGTTAAGAACAGACCTCCGGAATGAATTAAGTTCGTAACCCGAGGTACCACTCTAGTTTGAGTTCCTCACTTGAAGCTCTCTAATGTGTCAGCACGAATAGAAATTATTAATATTGCAGTTGTTGTATAAGGGATTATTTTTCTGACCAGAATTTAATGGAAACTAATAAGATTTTGGAATGCAGAAATAAAAAAAAAAATCATCAAATCATCAAATTTAGCATGCGGGGGGCCACTTTAACTAAATTATATCATTTGGTACTTGAATGATTGGTATTAATAATTGTATTATAAATTGGTATTGTTATAATGAGGCTAATACTGGACTGTAATTGAAAACTAATAAAAAACTATTTTTTTAAAAAAGAGAGGTACAATTGTTGGCTCTGCTGACAGCCTGTTAACCAGATGGTGTTGAGGCCTCCATCTCACTGCCGAAGATGGCTCTATTTATTATTAACACAAGTGCTTCATAAATGCCGCCCCAGCCATCGATCTTCCACCAACAGAATTAATATCACCATCTTTTCTATTACTGTCAAGATCTTGGAGAAAGATGAAGAAATAGGGTTTGGGGGGTTATTCATTCATTGCAAGCTTACATCGCTAATACTACTACTTACCAGCACCCTAAATCCATCAGTTTTAAGCTGCTAGCCAGTCTGTAAACACAGTGGAGAAAACTATGCAGCCAGCCTACCAGGGAGAAGAGAAACCAGACAGCTTGTGCTTCTCTAATGTCCAGAAAAAGTTCTAATTGACAGAGAGGGGGTGTACTGTGGACCATCAAGATCTCAAGACTTTCTCAGCAAGTTTAACAGGATACATCCTTCCATGAGGTTCTAGAGTGATTGATGACTGATCAAAAGTAGCCAAAGTGATGTGGTTATATGGAGGCAACAATGCTTGCTCAGTATCAGCCAGCAATGGCTGGCAGAGGCTGTCTTTTAAAAATGGATGAGGACCAGCTGTTCATGAGTCAACTGTAGAAAGCACTTGGATTTAGGGAAACACATACATACAGCAGATGCCAGATACCCCTCCAGAACTCAACCCCTTCTGAGCCTTGGAATAAGATACATCGAAATGTGCTGTGTTTGAGGAGGGTGTTGTGTTTGGAGAGAAGGAACAGTGGGTGCTTAGTTGATGGAACATGAAATTAAATAGAAGTTGGAAGCAAGACTGGCCTAAAACATTATGCATCCTGAGATGAAGGACATAATGGTATCCCCAGTCCATGTAATGAAGGTGACTGGACAAGTTGCTGAATCTTTCTTCAATGTAGGTGATAGGACAGTATCCTGCCCTGTAGGGAATGAATACACCGCCCTGTCTCCCAAAAGCTCATTGCTGGTTCTCAGCATCTGCTGTCTGTGGCAACTACCTCAATCAGCCCAATGGTAGAGCTGGAAGGGAGCATGGTATGATAGTTGTGTTGGTGACAAGACTTTAGCTGACTGACAGCTGGAAAAGGGAAAAGGGAGAAGAGTAGAGTGGAGGATGTTAGTGAGGTAGGAATGGGTTCAGAAGATGGCTGAAATTTAGAGACAAGTTTAGTTTACAGAAAGAGAACCAGGTGACATCACTGAAATTTATAAAATTATGTGTGCCATGAAGAAAGTGGAGAAATAAAAGCTTTTCTCCTCTCATAACACTAGAACTCATGGACATCCAATGAAACTGAATGCTGGAAGATTCAAGAAAGAGAAAAAACTTTCTTCACACGGCTCATAGGTAAACTATGGAAGTTGCCCCCACATGAGGCAGGGATGGCCACCAACCTGGGTGGCTTTAAAAGAGGACTGGACAAATCCATGGGGGACAATGGCTACAAGTCATAATGGCTGTGCTCTACCTCCAGTGTCAGAGGCATTGTGTCTCTGAATACCAGTTGATGGGAAATACAGATGGGCAAAGTGCTATTGCATTCATGCCCAGTTTGCAGGTTTTCCACAGGCATCTGGTCAGCCACTTGTAAGCAAAGCTGATTTGCTGTCAGGGGAATCAACAACAGTGGCACATCGCCAGTGGAATTCTCCAAGAAATGTAGTTAAAATCTCTTCCAATAATTAGACAAACAGTGCAACATCAGCATAACCATCATTTTAGCAATTAGCCTAATGATTGTCTCTAGCATAATGCTGTCTTTGGCCTGTCTTCAGATTCTGCGGTCATGGGCCAGAACACACACTGGTCACCACAACCAGACTCAATGGCAAATGCGGGCAAGCAAACTTCATTGAGATGAGCAGTAGTAAACAGGGTGATGAAAAAGGCATCAAGCAGCACTGAAACAACACAAATATGTTTCTAACATGTGTCTTCAAAAGTGATGAAAAGGGGATATGTTTTCCAATGCTGGTGAAAATGAACTGGGTAAGTAGTGTTCAACTCAGTGCTACATGAATCAGTTAGGAGCTGAGCATTCATGGCTGGAATATAGGAACATATGGAACTGCCAGATATTGAGGCAGACTCAATGGTCCATGTAGTTGTGTTGTCCATACCAAATGGAAGTTGCTCTCCTGGGTTTGAGGCAACAAATCTCTCCCAGCTCTACATGGAGATACTGAGAATTGAACCCAAGACTCTCTGCATGCAAAACCGATGCTCTACCACTGAGCTACAGCCCTTTTCCAAGGCTGCATAGACCAGATGAGGCCCAAAAGACCAATGGTTCACTAGGGTGAGCTACACAAAAGCTTAGAGAAAAAAGATAATTTCTCCATTTTTGCACAGTCATTAAAAATTATTTTCATATCCTGTGTTAGGCAAAGGAGAAGCTAAGCTGGTTTGCTCTGCCAAAGACCCATTACAGAACTGACACACTGAAAAGCTCAAATGCAAGGAGATGAGTCAGCAACTCTTTCATGTATTTCTAAAATAGCCAACAGCAAATGGGGTGAGCAACCTAAATAATCATCTGAAAGAGCAGCACAATGCATCTTCATGCACATGGGTAGGCAAACTAAGGCCTGGGGGCCGGATGCGGCCCAATCGCCTTCTCAATCCGGCCTGTGGACGGTCTGGGAATCAGCGTGTTTTTACATGAGTAGAATGTGTGCTTTTATTTCAAATGCATCTCTGGTTTATTTCTGGGGCAAAGGAATTCATTCATTTCCCCACCAAAATATAGTCCGGCCCCCAACAAGGTCTGAGGGACAGTGGACTGGCTCCCTGCTGGAAAATTTGCTGACCCCTGTTCTTGCAGAAAACCTTTTTAAGAAAGGGGGGGGAGTCAAAGTTACTCCATCAGGTACCTCCGGCCTCCAGTGACAACCAATAAATGAATAGAAAGGGAATCTACACAAGTGATGCTGACGCAATAACCTCACACATACACTAAGTTTAAAAAGTAAGTTTACCACCCACCCTCTCCCCCAACCTTTTCTCCCCCAACCTTATACTGTGTACAACATTAATGGCTCACATGGAATGCAACTAATCTGTAGAAAAGACTCTAGAACCTGAAAATAGAGACGATGCATGTGTTTTGTAATCCAATAAAATCTTTAATAAAACTACTAAAACAACCACCACAATTGGTGGTTATGGCAGATTCTTCCCCTCTCCCTCACCATCCCTTTTCCCTCGTGCATCATGTTTTTACATTATAAGCCTGCAGACAGGGACTACCTTTTTATTTTAAAAAATTGATTGCATGGTACGAGAGCCAGTCTGAGAGCCTTTTTGACTGAGGAGCCACTTACAAATGCTCTAAATAAATCCATGCACAGTTCCGACTGAAATCAGACAGGCCCCTCTTGTTTTGTCACTTGCTGAAAACATTTCTGTTCCATCAAGTATTTTTAAAGAATTGGTTCAGAATTGGTTTTATAATGCCACGATATTTTAATGGTTTTATTGTAGACCACAATTACATTATTTAAGAGCTGGAAGTTTGGAAATATGCTTATATAAATAAACGCCTAATTGCAGCAAGAGGCTGTTCAGATCCAATGGGTTTCTTCCCTGAAAAGAGATCATTTTTCTTGTAGAAGCCAAATGGGAGAAACCCCAGACACAGGGGAAAATGGGTCCTTCATTACACTGTTTCCTGCACTAGTGACTTAACAGCATGAGGACTCCTGGGATCACAGAACTGAGCTCTTATCTCCCCTGGAGGGAGATTGTCTTAATTAATTAAGAGCTCTGCATTTGCTTAATTCATCTACTTCAGCCATTTATCTCTCCACTTGCTCTGCTAATTCTACTCAGACTAGCCAAGAAGGATCTAAAGGAGGATCCAAAAATTAATAGGTCTGTGCAAAGACACACACAATCTGCCCTCTGGCCCCATATTGGACCAAGCAGTCTTGAGCCAATGAAGGGACCACTCACCCTGGATCTGCCCCTGGATCAATTCAGTGGTAGGGGGCTGATGTTTAAATTAGGGTTTTTAAAACCCATATTCAACATAAGATCACAAGGGGGAGGAACTGGTGTCTCTGCATCTTCTTCCCCCATCCTGGCCATGAACCGGAGGGTTTGATCCCATAGGGTACTGCTCCTTCACAACTGCCAATGTGGTGTAGTGGTTAAGAGCAACAGACTCGTAATCTAGTGAACTGGGTTTGCGTCTCTGCTCCTCCACATGCAGCTGCTGGGTGACCTTGGGCCAGTCACACTTCTTTGAAGTCTCTCAGCCCCACTCACCTCACAGAGTGTTTGCTGTGGGGGAGGAAGGGAAAGGAGAACGTTAGCCGCTTTGAGACTCCTTCGGGTAGTGATAAAGCGGGATATCAAATCCAAACTACTATTCTTCTTCTTCTTCTTCTTCTTCTCCTCCTCCTCCTCCTCCTCCTCCTCCTCCTGCATGGAAACTTCGCAAAGGAGCAGCAACCTGCACCCAAAGGACTGAACACTCTCTATCCTGTGTTGTGGTGTGTGCATTGTGTTGGTTTCATGTGCCAGGTAGGAGAAAGAAGAAGCCAGGTGGGACACCACACTCAAAGGCATCCACCACCAACCCTTACCATCTTCCTGGAAAGCTGCAACCATCAATATGGTCTCAACTCTCTTTTTGGAGATTCACCTTCTTCCTGCCCAAACACCTGCATCTCCTTTCTCTCTGACCCCAGCCCCCTGACAATCCAGCTTCACTTTGAGCCACCTGACCCAACTTGTGGGGATCTGGGGTTGCCTCAGCCCAACTCAAGTAACTCCCAGGCCTACCTCCGAATCAGTCCAATTCATTCAGGCCTCCACCAAATCTGGTGCACAGCCCTAACAATTATCGTCTCCTTAAACCTAGAGCTGGCACAGATGTTACTGCAGGGCCTAACCCTCCTGATAGTCACTGTTCACACATGTGGTCTACTTGCATATCTACTACAGTCATACCTCATGTTATGTTTGCTTCAAGTTGAGTGTTTTTAGGTTGTGTACTGCGGCGACCTGGAAGTACCGGAAAGGGTTACTTCTGGGTTTCGCGGCTCGTGCATGCGCAGACATGCAAAATGATGTTATGTGCATGTGCAGAAGCGGCGAATCGTGACCCACAGACGCGCAGACGTGGATTGCATTCTGCTCATGTTGCGAACAGGCCTCTGGAACGGATCCCGTTCGCAACCAGAGGTACCACTGTACAGTGGAAGAGAAAGCTCGTCCAAGAGGAGTGGGAGGAACATGTGGCCCTCCAGATGTTGTAGAACCCCCCCAACTCCCACCAGTCCTTCCAGCATAGCCAATACTCATCTGGAGGGCCACTGGTTCCCCATTCCCAGGCACAGAAGAGCATATATACCTGGGTTAGCTTTAGAAGCTGGCATCATTAGGCTCCTGTTAGATCTATGTCCTAGTTGTGGGTTCTATGTACCTTCCAAGGGAGAAGAAGGTAACCCCCCCCCACTACATTGTGATGTTGTAAGCAGTGAAGGGGGGAAGCATCAGATGTTTTGTGTTCAACCAGAGAAGACTTCAAGAGTGCTATTGTGCCCATGGGTGCAGCGCTGGTGACCCCTTCACTAAATAAATCTATGAGACAGAAAAGCAGGTGCTGATATCCTCAAGTTGTTGACTTCTCCTCACCTGCCACTCCTTTGGCTTCTAGCAGTTTTGAGGACCAGTAGCTTGCTTTCCAGATGAAGAGAGTGCTGATGTTATCAGGATGCCAAATGCTGACCACAACACACAATTCTGCCTAGAGTACAGCTTCAGATGAAGATGCCATTTCCACTGTCACACAAGGAGGCTTGAGGTATATATGAGTCACAAACAATCGCGGTTAATGCATTAGGAATGGCATCCCAGGGAAATGATGTTGTTATTTTTAGCTGGCAGCAGACACATCAGCCTCCACTGAGTCAAAGACTGTGTGCACACTAAATTTTTGAAGCGCATACAAAGCACATTCTTAACCTCACAGAGTTATGGGCACTTTCCTTCATAAGTTTATTGTTCTAGCCAAAGGCTATGACAAACCAGTAGCAATAGCATTGATAAAACAATGCAGAATGTACATCCATAATATAAGCCAACATCCATGATGTCAGAGAGAGAAGTTATCAGAGGCACCAACAAATTCAAATCTGAATCACCACAACCATTACAGTGATTTTATCTAACTCCTTTCTCTTGATTTTATTTATTTATTTATTTATTTTTGGCAGCCTGCGCATAGATGGCTATTCTATGAGTTAGGAAGCTATTACTGTCACTCAAAAGAACCCAAACTATTTCTGCTGGGGTGTGCCTGATTGCTTGTGCAAGCAAATGTTTTAAAAAGGAATCTCTTGGGTCTCTAGATAGGGGGGCAGGCTAACAGAAAATGAATGATGTCTTCCACCTGAAGTTGGCCACAAATACAAAGTCTGCCTGTGTACGGGACCTTGTTGTAGTGGCGATCCAAGACTGCAGTGTACATCACTTGGAAACAGAGCTCAGTAAAGGCATTTCTTAAGGAAACTGGTGAGAGTTTGATCAGATGCTCTGAGATGCTCTGTTCTTAAGAATGGATGCCAAACTTGTTGAGGCTTGCTGGGAACTGTAACTGTGATGGGTAAACTGCAGTCCCAGAATCCCTGTGAGAAATAAGGTGCTTCCAATGTGTTTTAAAGTGTATGGTACAAGCCACATCACAGTGCAGGAACTGGTGATTCTCCTACCAAAGGCTCTTTCTCTCAGCAAAACATGAGCATAGCTGTGGGGGAGGCATGGAGGGGCAGCTGCCCCCCATCAAATAAATCAATACAAAATACTTAACTAACTGCCTGAGGTTCTGCCCCACCCCAACATAAAGGCTGCTGCCCCCTAACACAAATGCTGGTGACACCCATGGGCATTTAATATTCTGTTTACATGGTGATTTGGCAGAGTAGACTGTCTGCCCATCTGGTCTGAGGGCTTCATGCCTGTCTTCTGTACAACATTCTGATTAAATTACACAATGAAGAGTGGATCTGACATTGGCAGCTGGCACAACGCCACTACTGTTTTCTGTGGGAGCATCTACCCACAAGAAGACAACTACAGAAAATTCCAATACCTCTGTGGGCAGCTGACTTGACCCACAGTGCTGGATCTAGTCTGCTTTTACTCATTCTTATACCTGGGGGCTTTTCAAAGTGTGAAAGAATAAGGGGAGCCTCCCGTCACCGTTAAGCTTTTGCACAAGTTGCTCCTCTTCTCA